GCAGCAGCTCGAGCCCGAGCTCCGGCCGCCGCCGCGAGCTCTGCTCCGGCGAGCTCTGGCGCCCCTGCGGCTTCCCGTCTACTCCCCTGGATGCGGACGAGCCCGGGCTACGCCCCGGTGCCCTTAGTCGCCGCCCCGGTGGCCTGTAGCGCGGGCGCCGCCGCGTCCTGAGGTCGCCGACAACGACCTCGCCGGCCTGACGGGTGGGCCCTATCAGCCAGGTGATTAGCTTAGTGCTAATCACCGCCTAATTAACCACTGACACTGACCAGTGGGCCCCGGCCCCCTAATCCTTTTAATTAAGCAAATAACCCCCTGTTTAACCCTGTGTCACTGACGTGTGGACCCCACATGTCAGGTTTGACCCCAGTCAGCCGCAGTTGACTTGCTGACGTCATGCTTACTCAATGCTGACGCAGTTATCCATTTTCTGGATTTAAAATAACTCAGAAAATTCCAGAAAATGATTTAAACTTCAAAAATTCATAGAAATTCAACCGTAGCTCAGATTGAAATAATTTATATATGAAAAATTATCAGAAAAATGTAATCTATCCATCTGTACTAGTTTCATGCATGACAAACCAACTTATACCTACTGTATAAGTGAAACACTAAAAAGGGCATTTATAAAGAGCTTACTTGGAGTTGCATTTGAATCCTTGATTCAAATGGACTTCATCCAAATATAATGCTAGCTGCATTAGCACAATCAGCATCACATCTTCATGCCATGTTCATGCATCATTTTGTTGCATATGCTTGTGTTTTGATTGTTGGCACCGTTCCTTCTCGATAGGTCCTGCTTCGGAGACCGTTCCAGAGTACCTGTCTGTGAAGCAGTGCCCCCTTGTTGATCTACCAGGCAAGCAAACCCCCTTGTTCATTCCGATACAATCCTACTCTCTCGCTCCTGCTCTCAGTTATTGCATTAGGACAACAACGATTCATCTGCTACTTTGTGCTGCGGTAGTTGAACCCATTCCTTTGCATGACCTGTCATTGCCACAGTAAATAGTTGAAACCCACTAGCATGTGTAGGAGTTGATTGAAGCCACTGTTGTGTTCCTACCATGCTATGCCTGCTATTGCTTAGAGTTGTGTCAGGTCTGATTCATTGGGAATGAATTGGAGTGCAGTCCTATGTTCTGATGCTGAGAGTGAAGTGTGTGAACACAATTTGGTAAAGGTAGTGGTGAGAGGCCATGTAGGAGTACATGGTGGGTTGTCTCACTGGAACCGTCCTTAAGCACTGAGTTCTGTGTATGTTGTCCAATGACTAGCTACTACCACACATTGGAATGCTTAAGTGCCCCTCTCAACTTATTAACCGACTTGATCTCTGTCCAGGAGTCGCAACTAGTTTCTGGTGTTTGTAGGTAGTGCTATTTTTCTACCAAGTGGCACCCGGCAGGGTGGGCTTGGGACAGACTAGGCACACGTGGCCTGGTGTACCGAGTGGCACCCGGATGGTGGGCTCGGGAACCCTGCACACATCGTTTGGGGCTGTGAGCGAAACCCCGGCCGGATCTCCTTGCGGATGGAACCTGAATAGGCGATAAACCTGGACTAGAGTCTTGTGTGGTTAGTCAGGTCGTGGCCGACACCCTCGCCAGGCTTCCGCTTGAAGGTTGCCGAGATACATGACGTGTACATGGCGGTAAGTGGCGAGAGCGTGTGTGAAGAAGTACACCCCTGCAGGGTTAACATGATCTATTCGAATAGCCGGGTCCGCGGTTATGGACTTCTTGGATGCTTACATGGTACATAGACAACTTGAAGTGGATACTCTAAAATGCTCAAGACGAAGTGTGAGTGCTATGGATGGCCTCCTCGTAGGGAGACGGGGATGAATCCATAGTAGTGTATTTGTGTGGTGACTAGTGGACTCGTGTGCGCCATATCACCTCAAAGAAGTTCTGGTAGTCGTAGAATAGGATAGCCACAGAGTCAAAGCTGGCTTACTGCAACTAAGCCCCACATTACCCTCTTGATACAAATGCATGTATGATAGGATCTGATGTAAGTCTTGCTGAGTACCTTTGTACTCATGTTGCTTTATTTATGTTTTTGCAGCGGAGACTTTGGTCTTACTAGTGTTCTAGTGGACTTCGACGAGTAGCTTGTACCTCAGCTACGATCTTGATCGGATGTTGTAGATAGTCAGGCTCTTTAGCCTTTTTCATTTGTAGATGTCTGTACTCACACATGTAATGCTTCCGCTTGTTGCTTGTATGCTCTGTATGATGGGTCTTGTGACCCCTGTTTGCAATAAATGCTATGATGGCTCTTTGAGCCTTATCTATATGAGTTGTTGAGTTATGCTGTGATGTCATGTTGTACAACACATACTTGCATGTTATGCGTACGTGTAATGTGTATTGCTATGTGTGGGATCTGACTATCTAGTTGTTTATCCTTAGTAGCCTCTCTTATCGGGAAATGTCTCCTAGTGCTTCCACTGAGCCATGGTAGCGTGCTACTGCTCCAGAACACTTAGGCTGGCCGGCATGTGTCCTTCTTCATTCTTGTGTCTGTCCCTTCGGGGAAATGTCACGCGGTGTCTACCGGAGTCCTGCTAGCCCAGTTGCTACAGCCCGGATTCACTCGCTGATGACCGACACGTTCGATGCTGGGTCATGTATGCCTGTCCCTGTAAGTTAGTGCCACTTTGGGTTCACGACTAGCCATGTCAGCCCGGGTTCTTTGTCATATGGATGCTAGCGACACTGTCATATACGTGTGCCAAAAGGCGCAAACGCTCCCGGGCATGGTAAGGCGACACCCGTGGGAATACCGTGCGTGAGGCCGCAAAGTGATATGAGGTGTTACATACTAGATTGGTGTGGCATAGAATCGGGGTCCTGACATTCTATTTTTCGTTTCATCTCGCTAACCAAACACGAGAACGGAACCAACCCGTTCCGCTTTTTTGTTGGTACCAAACACATGAATGGAATGGACTCGTTCCTGTGGAATGGAACCACTCCATTCCGTTCCGTTTGGTTCCTCAACCAAACACACCATAAGGTTCTCTTCACCGCTGTGATTTGAAGTATGTTGAAGGGATAATTTATTGGGAGATAATTTCAGCATTTAGGGAAATTTGCAAGTCAAAGGAATCATGTCTTGAAGTGACCAGGATGCTCACAAGAGTTTTACTTACGCGATCTAGTGTATTACTTCCTAGCTACAACTATTTCTTCTAATTCTGCTCTAGCACCTTTTGCTGCCTAGATGTTCATCATGATCTTTTTTAGATCCTTGCTTCGAGTGGCTTTCTTCATCAAATGATGTTAGGCACTACTCTTGTTCTCAACTCTTGTCTCTTTAAACATGACCTTGTACTACTATTTGAGGTGAATGCATTTGGGCACCTTGTGTGCCTTTTCCTGTTTGAAAAAAAATTATTGATATATTAACAACCTTGCTTTTTAGGGAGATATATTTTTCTTACATATTTTCATACTCTCTATGTAATAGATGAATATACTATCATTTTGGTAGTAATTGATCAGGTAACAAGTTCAACCTTTGACCATAAAAAAGTGAGTGCCTTAAAAACAAGAGTTTTTTTAAATCCCGATCTACAGTGCTTGGTGCGGCTTGAGCGTTGAACAATGTAACTCTCTAAATCAAACCAAAACTTTGTAAAATCATATAAATTAAAACCCTAACCATTTTCAAAAGGTGATTTTTTTTATGTTTCAAGAAATTATAAAATTTAAAACTTTAGCAAACTTGATGAAATGTAGCCCATAGTTCATTCCCACATGTGACCATTTATACCACGTTTAAAAAGCAACAACAGAGTTCTCTTATCTTTTGTGTTATTTATGGAGCACACGTGACTGCACCAACAATCTCGACACATGTGAACTAGCCTTTTCATTGTTTGAAACAAAGGAACAAAAATCCCAGTCATATAGGGAAACTGCAATTTCAAAAATTTGAAAATAAATAGAGAAAAGCACAAACACATGGATTCTATTAATTGAGAATCATACGCATCCATCAAGAAAACATTGCAATTTATCTTCGGTATAAGAACAGGGAGAATTGATCTCAAACCCTAAACTTAATTTTCGGTACAAGAATATTTATCATTTTCCACCGTTGCGCATGAAACAAATACTCATACTCTTGTGATGAAAATTTGCATGTTATAAACTCCAAACATGTCCTAAATCCACAAATGCCGGCACATATTTTTAGAACCTGCAAAAAAAGAGAGGCAAAACCACTATTCAAAACCTGGCCAGGTTTAAAAAATAAACGGTTTTTGTAAACTCTAGCATCGAATATGAATGCCCACACTTCAAATTCTCTGTACTACCTTGCCGGTTGATGAATAGATTGAAAGTTTTTCTCGCCAAAAGAAAAACCCGGAGCAGGGTCGTGTCTCGGTCCCACTGTGGCTGATCATCCTCGGACCATACTTTTTTTGTGCTTAAAATGTAAGACAAAAAAAGTGTGTGTTTTGGAATTATTAGTGGAGAAGAGATATCTGGTGTGTGATGGCCGATGAACGAATGTACTAACACCATCTCCAGGTCCGAATACATCCATCCCTCCATCGCAACGAAAAGAGGCCCATATTCGATCCAACATCCATCCATTTCCATCCCCTCCGAGACCCAGAAGGCAGACGGCGCCATCACACCCAGCGAAGCAAGAATCCGAGGGGAAAGGAAGGAAGGAAGGATGGCGCCGTGGACACCATCGCCCGTCGCCGCCACCGCCGCCGCCGCCTCCCAGGCCCAGCTCGGCTTCTCGGCCGCCCGCCCGGCGCAGGCGCGGCAGGCCGCCGTCCTGCCGCCTCTCGCCCGCAGGTTCCCCGGCTCCTCCCTCCTCGCCGTCAACGCCCCCGCCCCCTCCCCCTCGTGGAGGCGCCATGCCCTCGCCACCGAGGTCGAGGGCCTCAACATCGCCGACGACGTCACGCAGGTAACCAACCACCGTCTGTCCACTGCCTCCAGTTCAATCACTCCATTTCCAGTGTGTGCCCGGTCAGGAGTAGCGGGGTTGGTAGGATTTCTGCTGCCTAGAGCTTGCTGATGCCACAAAGCCTGAACTAGTAAAGATCTAGTTTGACCCTGCGGCATCCTTCTTTCATCATATCTCAAATCATCCTAGTTTCACACGGACAAATTCTTCATCAGTAATTAAACAAAACATCATCCATCTCAGAGTTTAAGCACCCGTCTCAGGATTTTTTTGTTTGTTGTTGAATTTGATCGCAGCTCATCGGCAAGACGCCCATGGTGTATCTCAACAAGATTGTCAAGGGCTGTGTCGCCAACGTCGCCGCCAAGCTTGAGATTATGGAGCCCTGCTGTAGTGTCAAGGACAGGTTACATAACAACTTCTCATCTGCCTCCTCGTTTCAGTGTTTCGTTTTCTTCCCCTGATGGACCGACCAGCTAAGCAGCTCCCAACCGATTTATGATTCAGGATAGGAATCAGTATGATTTCCGACGCTGAAGAGAAGGGCTTGATAACACCCGGAAAGGTGAGATACTTGCTGACTTCTTTTCATGTTCCTTCTCTTTTGTACTCCTTCCTTTTCTAAATATAAGCCCTTTTAGAGATTTCAATAGAACTACATACGGATGTTTATAGACATATTTTAGAGTGTAGATTCACTCATTTTGCTCCGTATGTAGTCTATATTGAAATCTCTAGAAGGTCTTATATTTAGGAACGGAGGGAGTAATAATTTGTATGAAGAGATGAAGTTATTTGATAACAATAAATGCATATTAATTCCTGTTCTCTGCTCAGAGTGTTTTGGTGGAAGCAACAAGTGGAAACACAGGAATTGGTCTTGCTTTCATTGCTGCTTCCAGGGGATATAAGTTGATACTGACAATGCCCACATCAATGAGCATGGAGAGGAGAGTCCTACTCAAGGCTTTTGGCGCTGAACTTGTGCTCACAGATGCTGCAAAAGGGATGAAAGGGGCCCTAGATAAAGCTACAGAGATCTTGAATAAGACACCCAATTCATACATGCTTGAGCAGTTTGACAACCCTGCCAACCCAAAGGTAACAAAGAGAAGTAGTCATGTGTCTCTACTCTATGTAAGTGTGCCTATTACTTCTAACCTACTTGAGTCTGATGTTTATCTTTATTGATTTTCAATCAGGTACATTATGAGACTACTGGGCCAGAAATCTGGGAGGATTCAAAAGGGAAGGTAGATATATTCATTGGTGGAATCGGAACGGGCGGAACAATATCTGGTGCTGGTCGTTTCCTGAAGGAGAAAAATCCCGATGTCAAGGTTCCTTCAAATTCCACCCAAATAAGATGTACTCTGTTATATTCTAAAAAAACTACTCTATAGTGCTCATACTGTTATCTTTTTCTAGGTTATTGGTGTTGAACCTACTGAAAGTAACATACTCTCTGGTGGTAAACCCGGTATGTTTGCTATCAGAAAAGACTTCCTTTGAGTTTTCCTTTAAAAGAAGACATACTACCTTTGGGCTTGTCAAACTTATGTTCTTTGCCTTACAACTGTTATCCGCTTGTGTAGGCCCACATAAGATTCAAGGCATTGGAGCAGGATTTGTTCCTAGGAATTTGGACAGTGATGTTCTCAATGAAGTAATTGAGGTCAGAGTTTTTGCTATCCGTCAGTATATTTCACCTTTTTTAGAATAAAAGCAAGACATGAAGGTTGTAGTTTCTTTCTTGAATTCAGCTGAACTGTGCCAGTTATTCCATTTCACTGTATTTTCTTAACGTCTCACCATAGGCTGATAGTTCTATTATGCTAGTTCTACGTAGTTATACAAGCACAATTGCATATGCTAGTTCTATTGTGGTACGTCTTCAGTCATGTGGATGTTGTCCTTGCATGAGTAGATCATCCCTCCTTTTGCTCTGCTTGGTACAATGCAAATGATAGGGTTGTGTGGTACTACTTTCTTAGGACTATTACTGCAGAGCTTTCTTTTCTTATAGTTATATCTAACCACGTTCTGCTTATGTTCTAGATATCAAGCGATGAGGCCGTTGAAACAGCAAAGCAGTTGGCTCTTCAGGAAGGATTGCTGGTATTGTAATTTCACATGTTGATGCAATTTTTGTGTGTTCCATACATTGATGCGGCGTTCTTTTTGAGATATCGTCCTTTAGTTGCAAATGTTTATATGCTTAAAGAAGCTGGGGAATCATGACACACATCATGCTAGTCAGTTTTTCCCCTTGGCTTGCTATGTAAGTGTAAGCACCTGGCGGTCTTCTCTGTGGATCTAGACTAGAAATAGTGGGTCTTTTCTTAGTACTACTATGCACGAGGAGGAGGAGGTTAGTCGGTGGGCAGGTGGTACCTCAGAAGGACAGTTGTTGTTGCATCATATCCACATAATCTCATGTGGGGCCAGGGCGTAGGAGACCACCACATAATCTCATTGTTGCAAAAAATCATGAACCACTTGTTCATATGTATGTCTGTTCTGTTCCTCATATGTAGTGGTTAATAAGTATAGTAGGAAGCTTGCATTTTTTGTTTCTCATGTCAGTCAGTCGTCTATGAATCAGAGGTCAGCAACCCTGAACCAATATATGAATGTATGTTGTGCAGGTCGGGATCTCGTCTGGGGCAGCCGCGGCCGCTGCCATAAAGGTCGCCCAGAGACCCGAGAACGCCGGGAAGCTGATAGTGGTAAACACCGCTGATCTTACAACATGTCATATTTCTAGCCCATAGAACTCTTCTCTTGAAAACATCCAATGACGATCGACATCGACATTGCTGTTTGTTTTGTGTGCGCGACAAACAGGTGGTGTTCCCGAGCTTCGGCGAGAGGTACCTGTCGTCGGTGCTGTTCCAGTCCATCAGAGAAGAGTGCGAGAAGATGGAGGCCGAAGCGTGAGGACCATTTCCACGCTTTGCAAAGAAGCTTTTTCTGCATCTTCCTCTTCCGTCGAACCGAATAAGAATAAGGCGGCATACATGGAAACGAACGCTTGACCTACACCTGCCGCTCACATTTTGTTGGTATTGATTGATTGATATATGATGATACACATGGTTGTAAGGAAACAATTACATCACTTTTTTGGAGGAGCAACGCTCGCTCACTCACTCACTCAAAGCAGAAATCAGGCACTTGTATACGTTGAAATTTGAAAATGTTTGTGTTTGATGTTTTTTCTGAGCTTGGTTTATCTCAAGGTTCGACGGTGTTTGTAGTTTCATTGTCTTGTTGTTGGTAGGTTCGATGTCGTAATAATAGTAAGGAAAAAAATAATATAAGCGTTTTTTTGTTCAGTTTGCAGTGTAATTCGTAATAAATAAAACGAATTACTAGTAATAAATAAAATGAATTACTACTAAGAAAATTTTAAAAAATAAGTGAGATGAACTGGCACTATTATCATGGAGAAATTCAGTTTCCATTTTTTGTTCCTGGTGTACTCGACTCGTTTTGTTGGGTCGTTGGCACGTAGAGAAGGTAGGAAAGCGAGGAAGCAAGTGAGGAGACGAATGATGAGCAGTTGCAGTTAGGTTGGTTCGTTGCTTCCACCCCCTCCCCCTCTCCCACCCACGACTCCTCGAACCAAGCCAAGCAACCGCGGCGCCCCAGACCGACGGACGGAGACCAAGCCAGCCAGCAAGCCATAGGCGGCGGATCCCGGCCCCGCCGACGAGACGCAGAGAGAACCCCGCCCACCCCCTCCAGGACCAGGAGCTCGCCGCCAGAGCAGCAGGGGGGAGAGGAGCCGCCGGCTCGACTCCTGCCGCTCGAGCAGCCAGCAGGCAGCAGGCCCCTCGCGCGATTCGGATCCCCCCGCCGACTCGCGCGCGCCGGAGATCTGGACTCCCCTCGCCCCCGCCGCGCCGCCGTACCGGGGACGGGAGGGGAGGATCCATGTCCCAGCCCCACAGGCGCAGCACCGGGAACGGCAACGGCGGCGCGGGCTCCGGCGCCGGCGGGGGCGGGGGCGGGGACTACATCAAGTCATGGATCATGTGCGGCAACCTGCAGCGCGGCTTCGGCTCCCTCGTCCGCGAGCCCTGCGGCCTCAGCCCGGACCCCTACTACCTCAAGGTCCCCCTTCCGCCGTCTCCTCCTCCTTCAACCACACATCTCCCTCTCTAGTCTATACGCCAATGCCATCAGGATGGATAACCAGTCCTCATTGTCAACACCTCGGCATCGTCACCCCTCTAAATATAGCTTAGGCACTCGTCTTGTCAGCCGGCACAATGTTTATATTTAGCATATATACAGCATAGACTCTGTATCGATACCTGCCGCACCAGAACCAGAGTCTCCATGGCATTGTCAGCTGTGCGCAGCTTGATTCATGTTCACCTCTTTTGCCCGCACTACTCACATTTTGCGTTCTTTCTTTCTAACTATATCTGCGATTCGATTCTACAGGGGGGCAAAATGCTCAGGCCAGAGAAATGGAACGCGTGTTTCGATGCCGATGGGAAGGTCATCGGCTTCCGTAAGGCCCTCAAATTCATTGTCTTAGGGGTGAGTGGACTATTAGTATTCCTTTAGTGCTTCAGAGGCTTGGTTTTCATCTCCTTGTGCCTATGTTTGTAGACATGTCTGCTATGTTTTTTTCCGGCCTTCAGGCATCACCTTCAAAGCATGATTAGAAACGTATTGCAATGCCTTATCATGCCCTAGGAAAATTATGTTTATGCTGTATTCTATATCAGAACCCAGGAAATATCAGTTACATCATATGTTGACCACACCTTACACAGTTCATTTGACATTAGATGCACCACCCATCTCCTTGGAAATTTAGATTAGCTACGCTCATTGTAGTAATTTTCCCTTAAAATGCCAATCTGATTACTCTAGAAAAAAAGGGCAGCCCGGTGCATGTAGCTCCGGCTTGGCGCAGGGTCCGGGGAAGGGTCCGACCACTTTGGGTCTATTGTACGCAGCCTTTCCCTACATTTCTGTAAGAGGCTGTTTCCAGGACTTGAACCCGTGACCTCATGGTCACAAGGCAGCAGCTTTACCACTGTGCCAAGGCTCTCCTTCGATCTGATTACTCTAGCTGATTGTGAAATTTTGCACTGTGAGATGAATGAATCAGATTGCTTTCTTGGGTTAGTGCTGTCCTTTGATGTAAACAGTGGGGGAAAAGGAATCATGTTCCTTCAAAGCAACTCATGTAATGCACTGCTATTAATCTTTGTGTAGTATGATTTTTTTTTCATAAATAACCAAACTGTCAATAATTTAAGCACAGAACAGACTGGTTTTCTGCTCTTAAAGCAGCTATTTACCTCCATTATTGATGTGCAGGGCATGGATCCCTCTATTCGAGCAGAAGTTTGGGAGTTTCTTCTTGGGTGCTATGCCTTAAGTAGCACAACAGAGTATAGGAGGAAACTAAGAGCCGCTCGAAGGTTTGATCCCTTTTTTTGTTTTTCATACGATGCTACCTTATGTTTAGAAACATGATTGTTTTCCATTTTATTATCTTGAATAATAGGCTGTAGCAGGCTTCGATTCGGTCATCTATGCATTATACTGAAATTGGAACCTCTGTAGCTAAATCTCCACATCCTATTATACTGAAATTGGAACCTTTGTAGCTAAATCTCCACATCCTTTCCTTGTTGTCTTCTATATATGAAGCATTAAAACCACTGCCGCAGGCTACAGTTGTCCTTATGTTTGTATCTGTGCGTTGAAGAACATGGGAGACAACGTCTGATACATTTGATGTAATTGGCTCCATGGCTTTCATGGCGGACTAGGCAATCATGCTACCTGACTGTTCCTTGGGTGGCATAAGGTGACCATAAATAGCTGTCTTGAACAATAAATTAGAGAGGTCAACACCAATAAGGGAGAGAAGTACTTCTACTTCTACACTTCTATAGTAGAGAAAAGCAGATAAGCAAGTGGGGAGATCCTAGCAGTAGAATAAAGCTAGAGAAGGTTGAGGAGATAATGGCAGTGGAGCATTCGCAGAGGAGGTTGGGGAGATCATAGCAGTAGAGCATAGGCATAGCAGAGGCTGGGGAGATCATAGCAGTGGATCACAGGCAGAGGCGGTGGGGGAAAACAAAAGAATGGTGAAGAGCAGATAACAGAAGGGACGGAGGGAGAAACGGATAACTGAGAAGGGGGAAAAGTGGAACGGAAGTGGAGCACAGGCGGAGCAAGGCAATGCTGCAGAACTAGAGACAGCCGCCCAGGAAGGGAGTGGGCGGAAGCCCGTTGGCGGGAGCATACTCTCTCTCTCTCTCTCTCTCTCTCTCTCTCTCTCTCTCTGTCCCTCTCCCTCCCTCCCTCACACACACACACACACACACGCACACTGACAGACAGACACTTAAATCCCCAAGCGACGAACACCACCCAGTCATGGTGACCACCGAGCTCCTCGCCATGCATGTACAGACTTCCATGGCCTCTGGTTATCTACTGTGACTGCTTTTACGCCTACGCAGCACTGAGACAAACATAATTGGCTCGATAACTGTATTTACTTTGGTAGTCCACCTCACCTGCAGTTTTGTGGTTTAACCTTGTATTCTGCACTTCCATTAGGCCCCTTCATTCCCTTGATGACTCAAGATATTTTGCACTTATACTAGAGAGTAGGTAAATGAAATACAGAGAATCTAAGTAACATGATTCGTAGGTAGCTTGGGTCAATATAGCTAATTTTCTTGCTTCGTGGCCACTAGTATGTGACAACTGAACGTTCAGTTATCGAACCACCAATGTATAATAACTGAAGGTCTGAACCATTACTGACCAATGGTTATATATTCCTAGTAGTGGTACAAGGATCCTAGTTTATATCTATATGGTATCTCTACATATGATTTTTCATTCAAACATTATACCCTGATCGGTCATATAGTAATATTTCCTCATACCTAGGAGACTGGAATGTTTGTTTTGCATTTGTTATGTATTCCTATGTTGCAAGCAGGGTGACCAAATTCCTACTTTTGCAATTTACCGTGATGTCTTCCCTCTTATAATTTTACACATGTTAGCTGTAGAGCATTTTCAGAAGCATCTAACCTAGTGAATTTTTTTTATTTATATGAAGGGAGAAATATCAATGTTTAGTTAGGCAATGCAAGAGTATGCACCCAAGCATTGGTACAGGTGAGCTTGCGTATGCTGTTGGCTCAAAGCTGATGGATGTCAGGACTATGCCAAAAGAAAATGACAGTAGAGAAGAAGTCAGCACAAGTCAACGAGCCTCAGAAAATGCACCTGGCAGTACAGTAGAAAACTCGAACTTAAATTATGACTCTGCTGGAACACCAGAGTCACAAAGCTGTAGCAAATCAGCTGAAGTAGCTGGTTTCAACGCACATAATGATAGCTCTGTATATAATTCATCCAAATTTATGGTGTCCTCCACAGTGGTGAATAGTTGCTTGTCAGATTCTGGGGATTACAATGACATGGGTGAACCAAGATATGACAGTGAGACGTTCATGGAGTATCCCTCCCTGCCTGGTACAAACTTGTTCGCAAATGATGGTGGGGATGTCAATGGGGTTGACGAAAGTCTTTGTAGTTTCTCAGTTCCTGAAGATAGGTTAAGACAACGTGATGAACGCATGCACAGCTTCCAGATCAATAATAACATAGATCTCATTATGGAGTCCAATTCCAGTGATCTGTTTCGGGCTAGCAACAGTGACTCAGCCATCTTTCACTCTGATGCGTTCAAACAGGGTAGATGGTTGGATGACACTGGCTACAACAGGGAAATAGTAGATTCTTTGAAGATATCTGATGCGCCAGAAGCAGATTTTGTTGACGGAACCAAATCCGACAGTCCGGTTGCAAACAAAGACAGAGTCGCCGAGTGGCTATGGACATTGCATAGAATTGGTATACTTACTCTTTTCCCCTCACACCACACAATTACAATGGCCTCTTATTATTGTCATATTGTGTTCTAATTGCCAGAAATGGTTATGCAGTGGTCGATGTTGTCAGAACAGATAGCCATCTCGATTTCTATGGAGAATCAAGAAATATGGCGAGAATGTCAGATATACTTGCAGTTTATGCATGGGTTGATCCTTCCACTGGATACTGTCAAGGTTTGCATTTTGATGGAGCATTACATCGTTTTGCTTCAATTATTTAAGCTGCCTAAATGGTATAAGTTGACTGTAGGTATGAGCGATCTTCTTTCCCCTTTTGTTGTTCTATACGAGGATGATGCAGATGCCTTTTGGTGTTTTGAGATGCTACTGAGAAGGATGGTAATTTGCATCTATGTCAAACTATACTGGCTTATGTTAGGTTGGTATTTTGCGTGACTTAATACATGATACAAATTTTGTTGCATCTCAGCGTGAAAATTTCCAGCTCGAGGGACCTACAGGAGTTATGAAGCAGTTGGAAGCATTGTGGAAGATCATGGAATTGACAGATACAGAATTATTTGAGCATTTATCAGCAATTGGTGCTGAAAGCCTCCATTTCGCTTTCCGGATGCTGCTAGTGCTTTTTCGTCGAGAGCTATCTTTTGAGGAGTCGCTGAGCATGTGGGAGGTCTGTCAGGCACTTCAAAGATATTTGTGGTTTAGTTTGGACGGTTCCTAATTTGTATAGAGATTTTTTTCTTGGGTATTTAGTCGTTAGTGTTCCATGAAATTTATACGAGAATTCTTTGAAATAGTTGATGTTTGTGACAAGATGGTTAAGTTAGTGTACATGCATAGCAGAATCTACTAACTATTTTTTTTATTTGGCATTACACTAGCCAAGGGGAAGTACCCACATAAATCAACAATTATATTTTAAAGGCTCTTCATTTGTTCGGTTAACTAACTGTGCTTTCTGTCTTCAGATGATGTGGGCTGCTGATTTTGATGAAGATGCAATCAGGAATTTGGAAGCGAACTGCCTAGAACAATTGCTACTAGATGTGAAGAATGATTTTTCATGTGAGGCCAAAGAAGAGCCCCGGGTGAACAAGTACACGAGAAGAAAATCCAAAAGCAGGAGATCCCATCGTAGAAATGGTGAAATCCGCGTGTCTTGCAACCCTGGAGTGAAATCTAGTACAAGAAATCCCCTGTGTGGCTTGTCAGGTGCTACTATCTGGGCAAGGCATCAACATATGCCTCATTTGAGTACAAATGTCTTGACAAAGAATGGAGACGACGAACTGCCTATATTCTGTGTAGCAGCAATCTTGATAATAAATCGGCACAAGATTATTAGAGATACTCACTCAATAGATGATGCTATCAAGGCAAGTTGGGTCACTACCTTCTCTTTTCG